ATGCTTGTTTCTTTTGCTGTGCAGAAGCTTTTTAGTTTGATGTAGTCTCATTTATTAATTTTTTCCTTTGTATTTCTTGCCCTAGGCTATGAATCAGTGAAAATTCTGCTTTGTGTGATGTCTGAGATTTTGCTGCCTACATTTTCTTCTAGGATTTTTATGGTTTCTCGACTTTTAAGTCTTTTATCCATTTTGAGTTTATTCTTGTGTATGATGTAAGTTGGTGGTCTAGTTTCATTTTTTCATGTATAACTTTTGACTCTCCCAAAACTTAACTACTAATAGCCTACTGTTGACTAGAAGCCATACTGATAACATAAACGGTATATTAACACATATTTTGTATATTATATGTATTATATACTATATTCTCATAATCAAGTAAGCTAAAGAAATGAATATGTTATTTTAAAAAGCATAAGAAAGATTTTTAAAATGTATTTATTGAAAAAAATGTGAGTATGAGTGGACCTGTGCAGTTCAAACCCTTGCTATTCAAGGGTCAAATGTAGTGAAGGAGATGGTGAGGGTCAGTGGATGGAAATTACTAACAGAGACATCAGGGGTAAGAGGGATTCTTGCTAGACTGACTCAACAGAATTTTTTCTGAGGCAGGTCAGGATAATAAGATATCAAGGGTGGTCAGATACAGAGAGTGGAAAATTTTCCCTAACCTGATTCAGAAGAATTCTTGCTTAAGTGATTGTACAAGGACAGAGAGGAAGCCCAAAGTCAGACCTGGTCCAGCAGAGGGCTCTGAGGAGCCCAGTGAAAGCTTGGTCAAAGACGTCTTTGTCAAGTGCCCGGGCCCTACTGTGCGTCTTGGCTGATTGTAGGGGAACAAGATGTTTCTGAATGCAGCACTGGGGTGGTGGAAAATGCCCCGATTCTAGGAACTGCAAGAAATTTCAAGAAGTTAGCTTTTCTATTTAGGAAGCTTTTATTGGTAAGAGAGGCCTTTCCAGCTTTAAGGGCCCAGCTGCTGCTACAGAAATAGCAACAAATTGCAAGTCAGCCTCAGGAGACCTAAGCAGCAGGAATGCAGGGAGCAATTGCTGAATCAGTCCACCAGGGGGCAGAGTGACAGCAGTATGGCCACCCCAAGAGGAAAGCGTGATGGCTGGCCAAGGGCAATGGTGAGTCACTCAGGACCCACAAGGACTTGGGCCTGTGTTTGGGATACCAGCCATATTTGGTGGAGAAATTCAACATTAAAAATACTTTTATTTTTATCAAGGCCCTTGGTTATGTAGAGCTTGGGGAAATAAGTTATACTCAAGACTTGTTTGCAGTTATTAAAAAATGAAAAGATGATGAGCCATTTGGCAAAGATTGTTTCTGTTGGGTAAACTAGAGTTGCCATGTAATTGGGATTCAGAAATCGCTTTCAAAGAAGGTAAGGTTGCTGACTTCTTCATTGGCCCCGTCTGACAGCAGCAACTTCTCTCTCCTTTCTTCGCACTGCTTGGCCCCAGCGTGGGGAAAGGGTCCCGTGGACAGGGCGCCGCCTGCAGGGGCCCCCAACCCCCGTTCCCTGGATGGAGGCGGGCATCAGCGGGCACAGGTGGAGAAGCAGCAGCTCTACTGCCGGGGCTGCCCACTCCCAGCAGCCCTGGGGTACCCTGGACAAGGAAGAAAGGAGACTCTTGGGAGCAGGGTTAACCTGAGGCAAAGCAGAGAAGGAAGCAATGTCTCAAACCGCAGTCTAATGGCAGACTCAGTTCAGTATCAGGTGTGAGCAGAGCCACACTCTCTCCAAAGACGCTTCTATTGTCCCTTCTAGTTTCTAGTCCTTCCTTGGCTTGTAGACACATCACCCCATCTCTGCCTCCATGTCTGTGTGGCAGTCTCTTCTCCGTGCGTCCCTGTCCAAATCTCTCTTTTTTACTAAGGGCAACAACCATTGGATTTAGGGCCCAATGTATTTCACTATGACCTCTCTTAACTGGATTGCATGCAACAAGCCTCTTTGCAACTAAGGTCCCAGGTACTGGGTGTTAGGACTTCAGCATGTCTTTTCGGAGGACACAATTCAACCCCAACTACCTTTTCCCACGTGCAGGGCAGACATCAGTAATCAATGGCTGGATTTTCTATGAAGCAGACCTCAGTCACAGTCCTCTCCACGTAGCTGTCCTGGCTGGACCTCCAGGCATGCAGAGCCGGCACCTCGGGTGAAACTCACAAGTCCTGGCACAGGAAGAAGTGTAATGACTGCAGTCTGGCCCACGGTGATGAGCTCGTGGGGAAGCTGGGGGCCAGCACCCTTCAAGCTTCGTGCAGGGGATCTTCTGTTCACTTTGCACATAAGATGGGTCCTGCTGGGGAGCTGTCCTGGACAACTCCATCCCCAGACCATCTCCTCCTTGGCCCAGCAGGCACCGTGACACCTGACCACAGCCCTGGGTCCCAGGGAAAATGGTCCCGCCGCTGTTCCTAGGTGCACAGCCCACAGGCATCATGGCATGGCCTGGGCCCAACTTCAGTCCATGCATATGTTTCTCCTCCCTCCACCCCTGCCACCTGGAAACAGTGATACACAGACATCTCAGAGGTGTTTGGGGCAATTTAATTATGTTTATAAAGCACTTGGAGGTCTGCAGATGAAAAACTGCTGTGTAAGAGCAAATTATTATTCATTCCCAGCCTCCTGTCCCTTGGCTTCTGACATGGTTTTTGTTGCTCCTGAATGGGAGCCACGCCGGGGCTGTCCAGCTGGCTCTTGCGGGTGCCTAGGCAAGTACACACACATTTACGGATTTCTTTCCCTTTGAAAAGAGCATTCCAACTCTGTGGGATGTCTTGAAGCTTTTCAGTGTCTGGATTTCCCTCCACTTGTCTCAGTACTGTAATCTACAAGAATGGATGGTAAACAGGCTACTTTGGAAAAGGGTGAGGGGAAAATGGTCAATTTGAACAAATGGGGGTATTATGAAAAATAAAAGAGTATCTCCTTCTCATGCAGAATCTAAATGAATCACTGAGTGAGGTCTGTCTCCATTGCCCAGAGGGAGGCTGTATGTGTTTATGCCTCGAAAGGGGGAAAGAATAGAAGGTTTGCTTTCCACGCCCAGGTTTCACCACCTTCCTTCACCCTGACTTCTCAGAAGCCACGGAAACAAACACGCCCTGCCTAGATGATTTTTTTCAGATAGCTCTTCGTTACCTCGCTGTGTGCGTGCCTGGGATCCCATGGGGAGAGGGAAATGAGGAAGAGGGAAAGAATTGAGATGTATCTGCCGCTGAAGTGGCTTGTCTCTGAGGAAAGGACGGGGCTTGCGCACAATTTTTCCATCTCAGGGGCAACAATGGTGCGTGGCACCCTCTCCTTCTCTAAAATGTATCCATATCCAGCCCGCGTTAACCACCCGCAGCCCATTAGGCTCCCTTGAAGGTATCTTTTGGATTATCTTAATGCATTGTTAGCAGGGTCTGTTAGTCAACCAAATGCTGAAAGATTTTATTTTTAAAAATCGCTAAGGAGCAATTATGTAACATGTAATCAGTTGAACAAAAGTATAAAGGCACAGAACCAGGGAAAGAAGCAAATGTGAGCTACGTGACTGGAGACAGAACAACAAACCTAAGAGCTAGGATGATGCCCTCCGTGTGTCCTAAATCAACCAGTCACTGATCAAATATAATATCGAACGACAGAAAGGGAAACCAGGGGTACTTGACTGGGACAGGAAAGTTCAGGCAGGAGTGGGAGTGAGGTGAATAAAACCAGCTCTCACCACGTCCCTCTGTGACTACGGCTCTCACCATGGACCGTGCATGTTAGCGCAATGGCTGTGACACATGGGGACTACTGCAGTAAGATCATGAAGTTCTGCCTGTTATGTAGAGGTCATGATAGAATGAATAACTTTTCTATATATATATTTTTAATTTTTTTCTTTATTGATTTTAGAAAGAGGAAGTGAGAGGCAGAGAGAGACAGACGCATCAATGAGAGAGAACATCGACTGGCCGCCTGCTGCATGCCCCCCACTGGGGATTTGGCCCACAACCTGGGCAGGTGCCCTGACTGGGGATCAAACCTCTTGGTGCATGGGTCGATGCTCAACCATCGAGCCACACCAGCCAGACTCCATTTTGTTATTTTTATAAAAGTAAAGGTGACCTAAGTAAAAAGCAAAGAAATGTGTACAGCAGCTAGGAGCATAAAAAGACCCAGGACTAGAAACTGAAAAGACGACGTGTGGGAGCCGGCGTGTGTCTGATCCCTCTTCTCCTCGGTGGTCCTGTGCTGCTCTGGGTTCCGTCGGCTTTCTAGATGGAATTCTGCTTCCCATCCCCTCCAGCCCTTTTGTTTTATCCGTCCCTCGTTTTTCTGTGTATTGTCCTAGAAATGAATCTAATTACATGGCTCTCCAATCCAAAACCCTCAACATTGCCCACTGTGCAAATTCTCTGTCGCTTGTTCTTCCATCATCGTCCCCTCCCTACTTGGCCTGGACTATGGGTGTCCTCTGCCTACAAATCCTCACATCGTGCTCTGTCCACATGTGCTACCTTTTGCCTTAGAGACGGGCCCTGCCATCCCGCCAGTCTTTCCCATTACTTCCATTCAAGATCCTGCTTATCTTTCAAGTCCAAGTTCAAATGAATCTAGTTCTTCAAAGTCTTTCAAGCTGCTCCCACACGTTTCGACCCTCCCAACATCACTTCTCTCTGTTTGGACCCTTCTTCGTGTACTTCCCTGATGATAAGTGAAACAAGAAGCTGCAACCCAGCTCTGAGCTTATGTCTCGGTCCACTAGATTGTAAGCTCCTTGAAAGGAAGGACTGTCTTGCTTTTGTTTAGTACTACGTAAGGAGCTTACAATAGTATTTTGTCCAGAGTGTATGCTCAGCAAGAGTACTCATGTTTAATTTCACCCATTCAACACACGCACGCATACACACGCTACAAAAAGGCAGGTGGTAGAATTTTAATTCCTTATGCAGTTTAAAGATGAAAATTAGAGAATAAACATATCTAGTCTTGAGAAAACAATAAATAGCAACAATAGACTCTGACCAAATAACTGATTTATTGTACCTCACCAACCAGTTAGATAAAACCAACCCATTAGGTAAAACAAGCAGTTGCAGAATCAGTAGGGACAATTGTGGTTGAATTAAGCAAACAGCTTCTGTCCTAAGATTTTTTGGCCTTTGGCTACTCTTACATGGAAAAGATGGAGTATGAAACAATTAGCCAGTTAATGTGGACAAATAAATTTGCCGGTGAGGCAAGAGCTAGGGAATCAGACAGAACTGTTCTGAGATCCCAACTCTGCCTGTGCCGTGGGGTCAAACACGAGGCTCGCCTTTCTCTGCGTCCACGGGCCGCTGTCGCACCTCTGCCTGGCAAACCCAGCAGACCACCAGGCTCCGCTGGGCTCTGTGAGTGCAGCGCAGTGCCTCCTGTGAGGACCCGGCTAAGGACTGACGAAGACAGAAATCCCAGGCCTTCTTTTAGAAGAAGGTGGAGCTGATATTCATGTATTTGTGTCTTGCAACATCACAAGGTTAAATGATAACTGTGGTTCTAATTCCTAGACAAAGGAAGTCTCTGAGAACAAAGGTGTCCCTGCAGTGGAGACAAACAAATGAATACGGTGCGAGATCACCTCCCTTCCTATGAAATACGATAGACATGGAGAACACTCCCTCTCCCTGGTAAATTCTGCCTTCCTCACCTCTCTCTCTCTCCCTCTCTCTCTCTCTCTCTCTGAGATTTTTTATACCAAACATTAGATAAGAAATGTTGAGTCCACCCAATCTCAAATTTCCATTAAGTTTTCAGCGTAGGCCAGTCCTAACGGATGAAGGGCTGCCCCCCCTAGTTTCTGGGTATGTAATTCTATTGCTGCGAAGCGTTAGTGTTGCCGTGAGTTAACCCTCTGAAGGCAGCATGACTCCCTCAGCAAGTCTCCCCAGCATTTTTGATAAATAGATTCCACTGAAAGGGAATCTATAGCTTTTATGGACATGTTACGGGCATTCATCTTTACAAAGAGCCGTTTCCAAAGTGGATTCACCTAGGATGCTTTTATAGCGATTGCGACCAATGGCACTTCTTACCATTTAGGGGGCAATGGACCTACTTGAGAATCTTAAGTGAAACCCCATGAATCCCAGGTACAGAGCCCTTGACTTACACACCCTCCTGAAACAGAAACCTTCCTTCTCCATCCCTCCTACCTGCAGTCACGCACGTGGGCAAGCTGACCTTGTACTACCTGGTGGTAGGGCAAGGCTAGGATGGATTCAGGGGCACCTTTGGGAAGAAGGGGGTGCCTTTTAACAGAGGCCGACCTGTCATGAATGTCCTCCCTCGCAGAGGAAGGACTCGGCCCATCTTTCATTTCTGGAATTTTACCTGGGATTTGGGTTCTCAAACTAGTTTGCAGACATCGTAGCACTCATCCCAAAGTCTTACAAGTATTTCAATATGAAAACAAAATACCCTACCTGCTCACATGATACATTCAATAACATGAAAGCTGTGACAAAGAGGCAAACACCCTAAATCAACGTGGTATCCCCTTTACTCTCTGACATTAGTGTGGGCAATGCACTGCTAACGGGGTAAAACCTGTTTGGAAAACGAGTTTGGAAAAGGCCAGAGACGCACACTTGCCAAATCATCAATGGAACGTCTGTGACTTCCCTCCTCCCCACGTGCGGCGGCTGCTGAAGGACGTTCGGCCGGTGCTTCAAGAACAGACCCCGGAGCCGCCTCGCTTCCCCAGAGGAACTCGTGCAGAAGACTGCGGGAAAGTCGGCTTCGAGAATTTTTGTTTGAGATGATGCAACACCTAAAAAGTGAAAGTCATCCTCCCTGGCAGAACACCGCTGCGGTAAGAAGGATAATGACTCCATGGAGCTTCAAATGTCTATAGTGCTTTATACTTTCTTAGAGCATTTTCCCACACAGCATTTCAATCAACTCATAGAAAAGCTTTTGGCTTACAACTGAGACAGTAGAAACCACAGGACTTTGCCCAAATCACACAGGTAGTGGGACAACTGAGGCTAGAGCCCAGACTGTATGACTGGCCCAGCATTTCCGCCAGGTCACCAATCAGACCTCTGTCCCATCGTCACCCCCTCTGATGTCTTCTCACCCTCCACAGTCAGGCTGCTTGTCAGGCAGCAACGCCATCTAACTGTAGATACAGACTCCAGGAGGAGGAAAAACACTAGTCCTTCTTCGACAAGCACATACAGACATATAAAAATAAAGGTGGCATTCTTCTCTATTGCTTCTTTATAGATGTCTTTCCCAGAGGAAAAGGCCCTGTTGGGAAACAGTTCACCAACCTGATGTTTCTATGTATACATAACATTCCTTAGCAATGGCAGGGACTTCGCACCGGGAAATCATTTGCTAAGCATTTCCCACTGTCTCACAGCGTGGCCTGTCCATTTCTCCCAGAAATAAAACATCGGGGCTAGTACAAGAAAGAGCAGATTCAAAGAGATGTTTCCCAGATGTGCGGCTGTCCTCAAGAGTCTGTCACAGGGCCAGCTCTGGAGATTCATATTTCCCAGGACCCTTTTCCAACTGCATCTCACCGTAGCTTTTATGTGACTGAGGAAATTCTGAAGAGGTTGACCAGCTAGCTGAACAGAGCGCTGTGCCGCTGGCTGTGAACAAGCAGCCCTAGAGAGGCCCCTGCGGGTGGCCCGGCCATGGTCACATGGCAGTTTTCAAAATCCTGGTCACGGGAAGTGTGGTGGGATCCCCTTTGATGTTTCTGGCAGGCGAAGGACCTCCCAGGAAGGCTGCCATTTTCGGTGTGGGGCGCGTTCCCCCTCGGTCCTGGGTGGCACAGGCACACCGCGCGGCCTCCGGCTTTAGGACAAACGACCTGCAGGAACGCTGCTCATACCACTTCTGTGTTGGGAAGAGTTACTAGCTCCACAGGCTTGCTTGGGGCCGTGACTGGGAGAAAAGCTCTTCCGATGCCAGCCTTGGAAAACTCTGGAAAGATACTCTGTTGCTGTGCAAACTTCTGAAAAACAAAACAAAAGAGGTCAGTGAGGCGAGAACACCTGGAGAGATGCGTAGTTGGCCCTCGCCCTGGCCCCATCGCGCAGGGCTGCCTGGCGGCCCGTTCCGCCAGCCCACTCAGAGCAGCCTCGCTCCCTCGGCCGGGCTGGGCCGTTTCACCGCCGTCTCTGACCTCTGACCAGCAGGTGTGCCGATCACAGACTGGGGTCGTTTCAGGCCCCAACTGTTAATTAACTGTAGGGAAGAGTCAGTGCCCATGGAAACAGGCATTTGCAACAAGAAACTAAAGTCACTTTTTATTTATTTATTATTTTTGTTGTCTTTATTGATTTTAGAGAGAGAAAAGGGAGAGAGAGATAGAAACATCAATGTGAGAGAACATCAATTGGCCGCCTCCTGCACGCCCCCCACTGGGGATCAGGCCCACAACCTGGGCATGTGTCCTGACTGGGAATCAAACTGGCAGCCTCTTGGTGCATAGGTCGATGCTCAAGCACTGAGCCACACCGGCTGGGCAAGTCACTCACTTTTTAAATGTATTGCCCAGTAATTCTAATTATCAAATGTGCAAATAACTTTAAGAACTAAATTACAAGCTCCTTGAGAGAAAGAACTATGTCTTATACCTCTTTATGTCCCCTGCAGTGCCTACCTTCATGCCTTGTACACCATAGGTGCTCACTGGAATCTTTTAATTGACTAATGTCTAACACAGCAACCACAGAGATAAGCACATAGCCAGAGGCAAGTAAGTGAATAAAGGGACCCAATCAGTGACAAAAAGAGTCCTGGCAGAGCTCCTGGGTGAGATCTGTCCCGGTCCCTAAGTAGCCAGCCCTTCCTGATGATATCGAGACACGTGGGAAAGATCACTCCCGGTGAGTCAGGTGCAGAGCTGACCCTGCCCTCCCGTAACCTCAGTCAACCCAAGTGAACAGCTGTGCAGAAGGAGGCTCGGGGTCTCTAAGCTGGAGCCGCTGCCAAGAGCTCAAAGGCATATCAAGGACACCTAACACTGGCCAGCCACCCTCTACTGCAGGACACTCTCTGTGCACCCCACTGCTCTGTCTTCTCAGGGTTAATTCTCAAGAAGTGGGTGGAAGCCACAAAATATAAGGAGAGAGGCCCTGAGAGGAAACAGTTCAAGGGCAGGTGCAGGACCCCGATCTTTCACCAGGTGGCAGTGCTGCTCACTTGCCTCCGCCCCGCTGGCGGGTGGTCGGTGCGGCACCTCCGACCGCTGTAACTAGGAGGCCCTCTGGGGCTTCAGCAGGACCCATCGGCATGTCTCACACTCCCTGCACCCATCTCACTTCACGCTCACTGGCGCTCTGTGCAGAGCCACTGGACAAGAAGCAAGCTGGAAACTTGCCACCATGATTCGCACAGGCCGGTGCCTCAGTAAGTCCGGGAGAGACTCTCTCCCTGTAATTAAATGACTCGCACTATCTACAAAACGTTTGCATTGGTGCCCCAGGTGAGCTCTCAATAATAACAGATGTTTTAAGACGATACTTACACAAGTGAAAATGATGAGTGTTAAGTAGAAAACCACCAAAGCCAACAGCAATACAATCTCAGCTCTGTATTTCTGGAAAGTTGCTTCCTTGTGCTCCTTACGGCATCCTTAAAAAATACATAAGTGAAATATGAAGCCATTTAACAGAACTTCTCTACCATAATAAAAAGCTACGATGCTTTGTTCCTGCTCTTTAAGTCCTTGCCTCCCCTTCCTGTCCTCACATCCGTGCCTTCGGAAGTACAGTAACAACGGCAGGGACGGTGGTGGCGGCGGCCAGTGCTCACTGTCACTCTGTATCCAGCTGTGTGCAATGGGACTGACACACAGCCTCTCACTGGGTCTTCTGAGGCAGGCCTGGGTAGCCCCATTTTACAGATGAAGGAGTCAAGGCTCAGAGAGGCCGGGGACTAAGGCAGGTGGCAGAGACGGAAGTCTGCTCCAGACTTATCCTGCTGCGCGGCTGCCTCCATTTCAAACATCCAGGGTTTCCTGGCTTTTAATTTGCTTTTCTATAAGAGGAGCCACCATCTGCTGATCCGAACACAATCCGTGTTCATCAGGGCTGTGTAGAGGGCCAGGTGTCCTGACCCCAGGAGGACTGCAGGACCACGGACTGAGGCAGTGGGCTGCCCAGCTATTGCAGGACAAGTAGACACACTCCCGTAAAATTGCTAAAGCCCCCACAAGGCCGACGACAAGGGGGCTACAGAACAGCTCCCCGAGGGGTGGTTAAAGGCTGTGGCTGCAGCGCTCTGGGAGGGCGAGCGGGCGTTCGGGGCAGGGGAGACGTGGCCGAGACAGCCTGTCCCCACTCAGGCCTGACATCTAGCGTGCTGGTTGGGGACGCAAGGTTGCTGACCAAGTCCACCTGCAGGCCAGGCAGGAGCAGGTGGAGTCCAGATGACTGGGGGGTGGGGGGGGTTGTTCAAGGGACCACAAATGGGCCTCAAGAAAACTGTCGAGCCCTGAAACTGGATTCAAAGTTAGTGCAATGGTCTAGGGGTGGATTCTCACAGCAATCGGTGGCTCGAGGTGACGGCCATCGTCCCAATGCTGCCTCGCCTTCACTGAGCGCTCAGTCTACCCAGGCACTGTCCTAGGCGTTTTAGTGCAATATCCCATGTGACCTTCCCAACAAGCCTATGTTGTAGAAATTAGTATCCCCGTTTTAGAGATGAGGGAACTGAGGCTTGAATTCAATCCGAGATCTGCCCAAGAGCACATGCTGACGAACAGCACAGCTAATATCTGAACCAGACCTAAGTGACTCTAGAGTCCGACCACATAACTCGGGGCAGCTTGCAGGTCTTCGAAGAGAAAAGGAAAGAAAATCGGCTTTCACTTTTCATCGCTGCTCTTCCCTGCCAGGGTGCTCTCGTTTCTCATTCATTGAGGGCCTACTGTGAGCCAGGATACAGCAGAGAACAAAGCAAAGGACGTAGCATGTCAGGTGTAGTAAGTTCTACAAAGACAAAGCAGGAGAAAGGGCTAGAGACTGAGGAGAAGAGTTACAAGGGGTGTGTGTGTGTGTGTGTGTGTGTGTGAGTGATAGTAAACAAAATCCAAACACTGACCAATAAACAGTGCTGTGTTCTTGGGAATATCAGGATACTATCTTGAGTCAGATTCCCTCCAAACATACAATAGGAGAAAGTAGCCATTGTAAAATATCAGACTCTATGACAACACGTTTGTCATTTCAAGCCTCCACCACCAACAAAAATTGGGCAAAAGTCCAATGCAAAGCATATTTGAACTTATCAAAAGAAGTTATGAAAAAAAATCAAGGAGATCATCCTTGTCTGACACTCGATTCTTGGAGCAAAAATGTGTATTCCATCGCTGGAACATTAATTTCTTGCTGTATTCTTTTTCTTTGGCCCGAGTTAGGGTACTGGGAAAATCAACCTCCGTAAAGTGCTGTTCTCATGTTATAAAGATGGAAACATGAAGCAGCTACCCTGGGCCAGGTTACACGGTCCCCAACAAGCAGAAAAAGTATACAGTTATCTGGTGCTTGGGGACCACACAATTCCTCTGTCTTCCAAACATCAGACTTCAATACTTCCCATGTGCTCCAAAGGACTCTGACATGACTAAAGAACAGCCAGATTACTTGTCTGACTACATTTGGCATCTCCCTCAGTTAAGCTGGGAGGATCTGTCCTTATTTATTCTTGCAGTAGAATTTAGCTTTCAGCCACAGACGATCCAAAGCTGCTGTCGTAGGCTCTGGCTGAGAGGGTCAACGTCAAGACCTACAGAAAGTGCCCAGGCCTTTTGCAAGAAGAAAGCAAGTGCAGCAGAACAGCTCACCTGTTACTTTCAGGATGACGGTGCCACTTTGGTTTCTCTGCCCTTCCGGCCCCTGCAGAGTGCATCTGTATGTGCCTGAGCTGCAGCTGGTGGTGTTTCGGATCTTCAGGGAATACAGCCCTTCACTGGAGGCCCCAAGTGGGTCCTTCTGCTCCGTCTGGTGATAGTTCTGCAGATCTTCCTGGGGCACTTCTATCCTCTCTTCCCCATTTTCTGTAAGCTGTTAAAAAAAAAAGAGTCACTGAATCAGGTTCTACTGACAGATCTGTGAGCCCTGAGCCTCCACATCAAGGTGCGACCTCTCGTTTTCATAAAATGCATCCCCAACAGTTTGTTAAAACAAGATGTCACGTGGGTGTGTGGCCTTTGGGGCAGGAGGGAATCAGATCAGGACTGCATTTTGTGATCCTCCGTATCCCATCTTCTACCCTACACGAAAGAGGGTTGCTGTCAACACTAATGACGGGCTGACGAAGATGACCTGGTGATGTGGAAAAATCACTTGGAATCTAATTTTGTTGCTGGTTGCTCTCTATTAAATGTCCCCTTGTTTTCTTTAGATACCAACTCACCCACTTACTGATTCTTATTTTTGTATCCCAGCCTTGATTTGGAAACGTTCCTAAATCTGTTAAGACCGTTGCCGGACAACGCAATGGAAGCCCAGAGATGCAGACCAGTGATGCCCCCCACAAACAGCCACCTTGTTCTCCAAAGGCTGCGGGTCTGCGTGGCCTCCGTGAAGCCACGGCGACAGCAGTGCCACGTGGAGACTGCGCGTCGGATCATTTGGTCACACCGAGATACACATGCAAGCACAGTTACAGCTTAAATCACTGTCGCCAGGACAGACAAGCCTGACTGAGGCAGATGCCAAATTCAGCCAAACTAACCTGGCTGGTTTTCTTCCCCTGAACTCTCTTTGTGATGCATTGCTGGGGTCGCTTCATCATCTCCTACTTCCAAGATGAGGGCCACACACGCCGCATTCACCACCGCTTCTCTTTCCCACAGCTGTATCTTTAATTTGCCTCATGAACTGGCCCGTCCACCCTGCACTGAAATGGTCAAAGCCTCTACCGTGGATTTAAACAAACTGTAAGGTTAATCACTGTTTGGCACTCCGGGCAGCCCCCCGCCCGATGCTGAGTGGCTGGGGACCAGCAGGAGCCTGGGATTCGGTGGCACTCCATCCTGTCGCTGGCATTGCAACAGCACAGAGAGCTACCTCAGGGTACGACACAGCAGGAGCAGGCTTCACTGCCCCTGTCTGCCCACACCTGCCAATGTTCCATCTCCCGTTTGGGGGGCACCTGCAACTCCTCTCCTCCTTTGCAAAGGGGCACCAGTGCAGGGAAATAAATAACAAGGGATCAGAGGAACATCCCATGAGGCCCAGGCAGCTCAGGAGAGAAAATACACACACACACACACACACACCTTCAATGGTTGGTTTCTTCTTAATTTATTAAGTCAGGGCACACACTACGAAGTCACCAGAAAGCTCAGGGTCCAGCTTCACAGCCTCGGGCATAGTTAGCATTCCCGTGGAGTGGGCTGCAGAGACATCTGGTGGCAGATTGATCGCTCCTGCAAGGAGCCCGACTCCATTCAGGACTAGCGCGGGGCTGCTGAGACTAACGGCTTTTCTCGGCCGAGTCTGTGAATGTAAATCCCTTTTCCTGACAGTGCTGCTTGTGTCGAACGTTCCCTCTCTAAATAATCACGGCTCTACAGGCTGGGGCCTTTGGGTGTTCAAACACAAAGAAGAAAACGGTGGCATGACCAAGGACCTTAGAAAAAATTCAGGAGTCCAAAGGATTCTAGAACACATATAGCTCAAATTTTCCCTTTTCAGGACTAATTAAACCACAAACGAAGGCCTCATTAGTAGCTCACCCTGTCCCTGCCCGCCGCCCGCTGCCCGCTGCCCCAGAGTATTCCCTCCCACCGGAGCTCTGGATGGGCCAGGTGTCCAGGGCATCCGGGGGCCACCGGTTCTGAACTAATGAACTCAGCCTATCGCTGCAATCTCCACAGGTCTCTTCCAACCCCTCCAAATGCGTTCAACTCTGATTTCTTTCTGATAGATTTCACTGGAACTCTGTTCTGCGAGAAATCTCTGCATCTCAAGAGCCAGAAACTTGCTGCAACCATCATTTTGAGGTGATCTGCCTCTGGTTTTCTCCCGGGGGGCCTCCTCTCCCATCCAGTGATCCCCTCCCTCAGCTCAGAAAGGCCCACCTGAACATCAAGGTCAAAACTTCCAACCCCTCTGGAGCTGGGGGGAACATGAACTACTGTGGTTATGTACAGAAAGAGGGCCCACTGCCCTGCTGGCTGCTGGAAGCCCCCAGGGTAAGTGCTGTATGTTCAGCTGATCAGAACTGGCTGGCAGTGGCCTGCTGCCCTTATGCAGAAGAGAAGTCACTTTGCATATCAGTAGTAACAACAACAAAAAGTAATTTATTTGATGGTCAGGTTTCCACGGGCTCCCAGCAAAACCTCCAGCAGGTTATTTTCAAATAGCAAAGCAAAGGCAGGGTGAGACCGTGAGGAGGACAGAAAGAAGTAGGGGAAAGGCAGAACAGGGAACCCCAAAACAATCTGCAGAATTCTGGTGTCCTGAGCCACCATGCCATCCATGGGATCACGGCGAACATCTCAACTCTCATGGGGCCTTCTTCCAATGGCCCCGTCCTGGGTCCTCCTGAAAGACCCGGAGAACAAGGAAAACCTCTGGCTTCACCGGGAACTCTTGCCACAGGAACAAACAACTCTCTTCGCCTGATAACCTACTCCAGCAAAAGGAACCTGCGAATTCACACAATGTACCTGGAAATATTTCACAACCCTCCTCTGGCTTCAGGCTGTGGGTATAGACAATGCCCATCCCCCTTCTTTTTGTGTTTTTATCCTCACCCAAGGACATTTTTCCATTTTTTTGTTCAGATAGAGTGGGAGGGGGAGAGAGAGAGAGAGAAACATCGACGTGAAGGGACACATTGAGTGGTTGCCACCTGCACGACCCAACCAGGGCCGGGGACAAACTGCAACTGAGGCACGTGCCCTTAGCGGGAACCGAACCTGGGTCTCTCTGGACTGCAGGCTGACGCTCTAGCCGCTGAGCCAAACCAGCCAGGGCTCCTTTTGTTATTTTAAGGTATGCCTTTGTGGATGAAAAAGGAGCCACCTGACAAGCTCAGGGGAGGCCTGCAGGGTGGCCTTACAAACTCAGACTGAAAGTAACCAAAGGATGGTCTGAACATAAATATCCTAAAAGCAGGTCATAGCAGGTCCTCACATCCTAGGAGGACTGTAGCTTCCTTGACCAAAGCTGATCTTTACCTTAAGTGAGCCTGTCTATTGTCTTTTGTAGTCAAAGAACCTATATTTAAAATGTCACAGTAATTCCTCTTCCAGGACTCTCAGGTCACAGCTGTCGGCACCAGAGCAGGAGACCACAGAACCCCTCACCGTTACCTTGTTTCCACCTCTCAGCTATAAATGCTAATGAACTATTCCATGCCCACCAATGAAAAAGAAGTCTGTGTCTCTCCATTTTGCCTTTTCATCCAATCCCAGAGGTCCCCCCACCCCACGGACACTGCTTTGCTTTCTCCTGCCCCCTTATTCTACCACCAATGGATTTCATGTAACCCTCCTAACATTGCCTCCTTTAGTTATAATATATAAAATAAGCTGCAAAACTGACATTCTTGGGAGCATTTTCTCAATCCGTTGAGATTTTGCTTCCAGACAACTGTCATCAATTTGGCTCAAATAAACTCATAAAAGTTCTCTACAGGTTTGGACATGACTTGTGTCAACACCTTCTCATGTGACTCCATCTGGGGAATCTGGGCCTTGCCTACAGCCACAGAAACAGTTGTATTTTTATGTTAATGCCACTGAAAGTGGGAGTGGGTAGGAGCAGTACCCGAGTTCCTGCAGCGAAAGGGTCTAATCAGTACCTTCAGCTGGGTGCCGGAGCAGTGCCCACCGTGGATAGTATCGGAGCCCGGCCGGTGTGGCTCCGTGGCTTGAGCGTCCTCCCATGGACTGAGAGGTCCTGGTTCGATTCCCAGTCAGAGTAGATGCCTCGGTTGTGGGCTCAATCCCCAGTGGGAGGCATGCAGGAGGCAGACAGTCAATGTTTCTCTCTCACACTGATGTTTCTATCTTTCTCTCCCTTCCTCTCTCTCTAAAAAATCAATAAAAACACATTTTAAAAAAAGAACCAGAGAAGAATTTCAAGGGCAGAAAGACAGAGTAACAGCAAAGGGGCCACCCTCAACTCTGCGTTGTTTTGTGAGTTTGTATAAACATTTGAGCTGGCTCAAAATCAACCACTGGCAAGAACAGCTCTTTAAGCATTCCAAATCTGAAAGTGTTTCACTGCCTCTCTGCAAAGGCGTTATAGGAAATAGTAATTTATGACAATAGGAGCCTTCAGATTCATTCACAGCCAGGCGTAACTGACAGGAATTGTTGGAGGCACGCTTTACAATGCTAATACTGTGCTATGCCAAACCACAACACAATCTAAGCAAATTATGTTTTAAAAATCCCAATTATGTTTTAAAAATCCACCCTTTCTGCATTCATTCATGCTGACCATTGTACCTTTTTGATTGAATTAGAAAAGGGCAAAATACAGGACATCTTATTTTCAGAAAGCCTCCAGACCTTTATTATTTTTTTTTAATTAATTTGTTTATTTTTGTTACAGATGTTTCTCCTGCCTCTGGACTTTTGACTTGTCTCAAGGCAGCCAGTTTGACTGAGTAATTTAAATACCATATTCTTTCTCTAAAATTGCAATTTGGCCTTAAGGAAACCACAAGCCCCAAATTAAAATAAACCCTCTTTAATTTGCTGAATACTGAATCAATCAAATAAATACAAGTATTAATTTTAAGGGCATGTGAATTAAGTTTGTTTTCTTTTTAGAAATGGTGGACAAATTTGAACGAGAATAAAAGAAATCAAATAAGTAGTTAAATATAGCTGAAATGAACCTATATTTTAGTCAAAAACTCGACTGTATAAAGTGTTTTGTTTTTTTAGTTTACATCATTTTACCAAATATATGCTAACCTCCTAGATTACGATATTTGAATATAAGAGGGCTACACTTCCATTCCCATGACAAAGAAAGAATTTATACCACAAACCTGAAATCCAAATTTATCATACATGAGATCCATTAAGAATGTG